CCAGAGGAGCAACAAAAGAAACCAAAAATTTTGCATAATTGAAAATTTTGCAGTGGCAAAAATGGGACTACACGTGGAGGCCACTCCCACGAACGGTTGATTGCCAAACAATTTTGTTGACCATTGACACACGGGTGGCAGATGGGGCAGATGTGGCAGGGGCTGCCACTTGATTATACGAGTACGAGCATTTTGTACCTTGCTGCCTGCCACATCACATGCCTCACGCTCTGCCTGCGAGTATGTGTGTGGGTGTGGCAAAGTAATTTAAACTTCATGTCAAATTCAGCCAAGTCATTCAATTTCAATGTCGATGCATAATTTTGGGCGAACATTGTGGCTGCTGCCACTTGAGGGGAGGGCACGCCTTGCCACGTAATTACCTGAGGCCCAGTAATTGCCAAAAAGGAGCATGGCAGGACCAGGGACAAGGGTCCTCCTCTAGGCCCAGCAGCACCAGCAGCAGCAGCACAATGATGTGTAGTTTTTGTTCCTTCTTATCCCTCAAAAGCATTCGTTCCCTTGCCATTCCCTTCCATTTCTCTCCTGACCCTCTCTACATTCGCATTTGACTTGAACGCAATTTATGCAAATTTGTTGGGGGAACAGAAGACAACGTCAACGTTAACGGGAACGGCAACGGCAACGATGGGCGCACATGGCAATCAGTAAAATGTGTGTGTTGACAGCAGGGACTTCCCCATTCCCATCCATTGCCTGTTATCCGCTTTGGACGGATTCCAATTCTCCCGACACGTCCAGCCTTGGCATCACTTTAACAAGGCACAAGCCGCATTCAGAAAATCCGCTTGATTAGCATAAACGCATTAAAAATATGCCCACACGAGTTCGAGTTTTCGGGTGGGGCGGTTTTCCACTACCAAGTGGAGCAGAAGGAGGAGGCGGAATTTATGGATTATAATGTTTGTTCTGACATCCAGCGATGGTAGCGGGAAAAATGAATTTTCAATTGCCCCAAAAACCATGTGGCATGCTCATACTGCTGAGCTAAGCTGATCTTTTGTCAATGGCACATTATACACTGGCAGAAATACCCAACAGAAGCAGCAGGGTAACTCAGTATCGTCGGAGAATGTATGAGAATATATCCACAATGAACCGATGGATGGATAGATATTATTTTGAAGTTCATGCCCCAACAGCGCCCACCAAGAACGTGGCAAGGCTTTGCAGGAATGTTCATAGTCTGCGACGCGCATTTAATATGCAAATTTTTCTATTGATTTATATTTAATCGCTTCTAAGTGCAACGACAGCAGCCCCAACCCCAGTACCAGTCCCTACCCCCCCAGACACCAGCTGCAACCAGATGATGCCATCAGAAAGGAAGTGGTGATGGGTAGAGGGATGCTGCATGCAATCATAAATAAACAGCACGCATCCAGAATAAATATGTAAATAACGGGAGGGAAAAAAAATTACACAAAAGGGGCCACCACATTCCATCTCCCTCCCTCCCTCTCAGTGTGTGTGTGTGTGTGTGTCCCTGCCAGGGCTGTCATCGTTATTTAACATTTTTCCCTTGAAGCTGCATCGTCTGTTGCATCCATCACTCACTCACTTAGCGGCGCCTTCGACTCGAACAGCCAAACCTACTACAAGTACCCATTCTCCTGCACTTTTCGTGCCACAAATTACGTTGCAAGCGCTGATGAGCTCGGTGCATTGCATACTTTGCGCCGCCTCTGCTCGCCCTGGCCCACGAATCTGTATTTGTCTTTTGGTGCACCATCAGTTATTTGTCTCGCGTGTGGCATTGTTTATCTTGCCTCAGTTTGAAGTGGCACAAAGCTCAGTGTCGCTCAGTGCCTCCGCGTCTCGTGTTGCTCTTTGCCGTTGTCTTAATGTGCGGGTAAATGCGACGAAATTAAGTTAACTGACAACATTAACGCGCACTTGCAGCGCGGTTGGAAAACTTTTCCACGCTAACTAGATTTTCGAAGCGGGGGAAAAAAAACTCTATTCCATCTACAACATTGAATTATGATGCCATCAAAAGGATTTTAAATCAATTTGAGTCAGGGACAAGCCTAAGCCATGGGGCACAGTGCGTATGCGCAATCAGGGGGGAATAAATGAGGAGGAAATGCGCCTCTTGAGACGCCTCAATGTAGGTGCAGGTGGATGTGCCCAGTCGCCCTGTGCTGGAGTAGGGAGTGAATGGTGGTGCCTACTCCAAAGCTGAGTTGGAAACGCATGAAAGGAGGTGTGAAACTGTGTGGCAAAGGGCAGTAAGTAGCTGATATGATTAGAAGGTACAGGATGTACAGCCGTGGAAATGATTAGCACGACCACTACTTACCTCTTCGGTGTGTGTGTGTGTGTGTGTGTGTGGCACTATCTACCACGTTGCCACTTGAACGCATCAAAGGGGCACTTTGATCCGTTCGTAAACAGTAATACCACGAGCATGCGTGTGTGTGTGTGTGTGTATGTGTGAGCGGCATCTTGTGGTCAGCTAAGCAATGGATATGGGGAGGGACACCAGGCAGGTACACCAATCTGAGGGTGCACAACATTTGACGTTTGCATTCGGCCATTACGGCCGGGATGCACTGCTAATGCACTGATTATTTGGTTGCACACAACCAAGGCAGAGTGAAGATGGGGCGGCAGATGTAGCGGTGCCTTGGCAACCAACTTCCACCTACGACTACGAGTATATCCAATAATTAAACAATCCACCCCAGAGCAACGGTTGCACCACCCCACTGGAATTTAATTGAATTGAAGTGAATGGTGAACCAGACATTGAGGATTTAGTAGGGGAGCACAATCAGCAGCAGGAGCAGGAGCAGGGTAGCTTCAAGCTTCAAGTGTGTGGCATGCTGCACTTTAAATGGAATTGCAGGCAGCTTCTATCACCTCTTTTTTTTTTGTTGCTGCCTCTGGTTTGCCTCTGGAAACAAATCAATTTATGCCTCACAAACGTTTGAACAATTTCTGATTCGAATTCTGTTACGGTTTCTGTTTCTGTTGCTTTTTCGCTTTGTGCAATTGACGGGTCAATAATTAAGGCCCTGTCTTGCCACTGCCACAGCCAACAGCCACTAGCTGCTCCCCTGGCCACATGGAAAAAAAAATGATTGCTCTTTCTGTAGCTCCGAATGCGTTTGGGTTGGTATTTGGGTTGGGGTTGGCGATAGGGGATAGGGGGTTCTGGACGTTCTTATGACGTTATCGTTGCAAAGTCAATTTCCTTGTTGATTTAAGTTTCAAAGCCACTGACAAAGATGCCACGCAGATGGCTGCCTACCCCATCGCATGAGGCATGAGGTGTTGTTCCCCTGCAAACTGGATTAAATTTCGTTTAAAATGTAAATGGAAAAGAGCCTGATGGACAGACAGCGTCGTTTGGGGCTTGTCTTTTGGGTTGTGTGAATCATATCCAAATTGCGTTTCGTTTGCGGCGGAACTTTCAAAAAAAAAAATGTAAGGGAAAGGACGGAAAACCTAAGACGAAAGTGAAAACGAAGGAAAACTAAACAAACACCTCATCAAAGAACATCAAAGGACGCCTAAAACTCTAAGCCAAGGACAAGAGGGGAGGAAATCTGAAAAATTCCAAAAAGAAACACACAAAAACCCGATTCGTTTTTTGGAGAGTCGAAACATTAGATACCCTATACCAAAATATTGGTGTAATATTGTAGATTAGCTAATTTGTAGAGAGACGAAACATATCCTATGGTAACTATTTGATATGGCAATCTGTTAATGGAAGTTTCGAATTATCTACTGTCTTCTGCCAAAGGAATGGTATTGAAGTCAGAATTGTGGGCTGCCCAAAGTACTTACTTTTCTGAGTGTCAAATATCTGTTGAAAATCGTAATACCTCCTGAATGAAGAGTATACAAAAAAACGCAAAAGAAAAGAAAGAAAAGAACAAGAACACGAATTGAGAAAGAAAGAGAAAACATTTTATTTTCGGTGCGCACAACGCAGAAAATAAAATCAAGAATTTCACACCTTATCAATTTTTCTAGATTAACAAAACGAACAATGAAGTGGGGTCGTCGGGGAGTGGAAATGGTGGATTTTCCTTTTGAGCTCCCCCCGTATGGCGCATGCCGGCAAGGGAAGGCTGTGAAATTGCAACATCAACATTGGGACAAGGCAATACAGAACGGAGTGGAGTCTGAGTCTGGGTCTTGGTCCCCCCCCCTGCATTGTGATCGACATCATCATCATCAACATCATCAGCAGGAGGAGGAAAGAGGAGGAGGAGGAGAAGGAGAAGCAACAACAGCAGGAAGAGGAGAAGCAGCAGCACTGTGCCCTGTGCACCGTCACCACAGTTTGTCATTAAGGAAGTCAAAAACTTCGACCCCCAAGCAAAGGTTGGAATAAAGTGTATAGAGTGGATAGAGAGTATAGAGTATAGAGGGTGTCTTAAGCAGAGAGAGAGAGAGAGAGAGAGAGAGGGAGATTGGTTTGGCTTGGCTTTGTGTGACAGCAGTGTTGACATTTATTTTGATTTCAGTTTCGAGTGCAGCTCGTAAGTGGGTGAACCTTTACCATTTACCATCAGCTCTCTGACTTCTGTTTACCCACCCAATACGAGTGAATAATAGTAGAAGGACGAATGCTCCCCATGCTAATGTGAACGCGGCCCAAAAACACTTTTCTGGTGAACCAGAGTAGGGTGGCTCTTCTCACATTGAATATGATGACTTTACTTTAGCCTTTAGCCATAGCCTGCCCATGAAAAATGGGAAGACCTTTTGCCTCTTTTAGCATTTTCAATCGAAACATTGGATCAGCTAGCGAGTATCTCCCGTTGCTGCTTCCAAAGTTAGTCGTTTTTCTATGGGGTTGTGTCTTCATTGTTGCTGGCACTAAATTGAATTTTATTTTTTCTGCCAATGCCAGCTTTGATGTGTGAATTTATTAACGACTGCTGGGATCTGGGAACGGGAAACATGGGTGTAAATCTCTATCGAGTGTTCCAAGCATTATACGTAGCTGTCATTTCCCTTCAACTCCCTGGAATTTTCAACCTGAGCTCAGTGATCCATCCGTTGACTTTCATTGCACACATATTTGAGTATTTCAATGTACCTTAAATTTGTTGTTTGAATTCCAATTGAAGCCATGACGGACAAGTAAGTTGTCAATGGGAGACACATCCAATTGCGTTGATTCCCCTCATTATTACGCAGCAAGGACTACAATCCCTATGACAATCGTGTTGTGGAAGTCCCGATCACGTAAGGCATTCAGTCCGTGGATGAACTGCTCTCATATTTTGTACCCCAATTAAAAATCAGGAATACGGGGGCCTTTGTGTCGCTGCTGAAGTGCGTCATAGGAACAGGTATCCTGGCCCTGCCCCTGGCCTTTGCCTACACGGGATGGATGTGCGGCTCCATTCTGCTGATCCTTACAACGATAATGCTGATCCATGGCATCACACTGCTTGTGGGTGCACAGCTATTCCGACGTATTGACGTTCCACCGATGACTCCTCGATTATATTTTTATAGATAATGTGCATGGTGGAGTCGGCGCGACGGCAGCAGCAGGGCTACTGCAACTTCTCCGACACAATGGTGTTCGCCTTCAACGAGGGACCCAAGTGGTGCAAGTACATCGCCAAGGCGGCTGGCTTTCTGGTGGACGGTGTGCTCAGCCTCTCCCACTATGGCGTCTGCGTCGTCTATCTCGTGTTTGTGGCCGTCAACCTGAAGCAACTGGTGGATCACTATGCCAAGGACATGGACTTGCGCATTTACATAGCAATCGTGGGAGTGTGCTTGATCCCCCTCTTTCTGATTCGGCACTTGAAGTATTTGGTGCCGTTCAATATGGTGGCCAATATCGTTATTTATCTGGGCTTCATGTTAATCTTCTACTACCTGTTCCAGAACTTGCCACCCATTTCGGAACGCAAGATGTTCAACGAGCCCTCCAAGTATCCCCTCTTCTTCGGCATTGTCCTCTTCTCCGTGAGCTCTGTGGGTGTGGTAAGTCGTCTCCTGACTGTGCTCTGTGCATCCGCTTTGAACCTATCCCAATCCCTATCAGATGCTGGCAATTGAGTCGAAGATGGCCCATCCGGAGCAGTACATTGGCTGGTTCGGCGTCCTCAATCTGTCCGCGGTTGTGGTTGTAATCTCCTACCTGTTCTTTTCCATCTTTGGCTACTGGAAATATGGCCAGCACGTATTCGGCAGTATAACTCTCAATCTACCCACCGACGAAGTGTGAGTTTAGCTAGGAATTTAGCTGGCAATTGATATAACAATTGACGCCCCCATCGATCACGGTAATCCCCCCCATAGAGTATCGCAGCTCTCCAAGGCGTTCATCAGCCTGGCCCTGTTCCTGTCGTATCCCCTGTCCGGCTATGTGACCATCGACATCGTCGTCAACCACTACCTGAATCGCGGAGATCGTCTGAAGAATCCGCACTTTGTCGAGTACATTGTCCGGGTGTTCTTCGTCATACTGAGCACCATCAATGCGGTGGCCTTCCCCAATCTGGGCCCCCTGCTGGCCTTCGTCGGCGCCCTCACCATATCGCTGCTCAATCTGGTATTTCCCGCCTGCATTGAGCTGTGCCTCAACTACCATGCCCCGTACACCTACGGCAAGCTGAGATGGAAGCTCGTCAAGAATATCCTGCTGATCGTCATTGGCCTGGTGATACTCGTCTACTGCTGCACCCTGTCCGTTCAGGACATGATCAAGGAGTACGGTGGCTGCAGCGATAAGGAGTCCTGCTCGAAAAAGATGCCAGTTGGAGTCTTAACGGAGAATTAAAGTAGATGATCTGAGTAGCATTCTTTCTGTGAGAATTGTAATGGGGATGGATCGGGCGAAATTATTGCACAGAGGGAGTCCAAGGGGATTTGTTTACAGAGATAGAGAGAGAGAGAGAAAGGGAGAGAGAGAAAGAGAGGGGAAATTGCAACAGCAAAGACAAATACGTGTGTGAGGCAAGCGGAAAACTTGGCATGTAAATTCAATGAATTATGGCTTGCAAAAATGCCTCGCACAAGCAACGCCTCAAAATACCAGCCATGTGGTGACCAACGAGTAGTCCAGAACAAGTCCAAGAGCAGCAGAGCAGCAGAAGGAGTCCAGCAGCAGCAGCAACAGCAGCAGCTTGGAATTCCATGCATAACTTGTAGCAGCAACGAGACGAGAGAGCATATGTAAAAAAACGAAGCCAAGGACAGACTCACGATGAATTCAGTTTTCCCACAACATATAAAAAGCTAAAAATAGTGTATCAACCCAAACATATCCTCTAATTCGAGTTCAGTTCTATCAAAATCAGAAAAGTCTCCACTTTTACTCCTGCTTTTACTAAGTAAAACACTAACACTTTGAGAGAGTGGAAGACATAGAACGAGAGATCGAAAGAGTGTAACTGACTGAAATAAAGATATCCTTACTGGATATCCATCAGAGTATGCTCAACACACTTTTATATTACCTCAACTACAGGGTCTGCAAAAGAATGGAAAATCTAGACCAGCCAAGTCTCTAAATTGTGTGGCCCTAAAAGTGTCCGGCGGCACATAATGCTCTCAGAACGCACACACAAACACAAATACGCACACACACACACACACACTCACAGAAAAATCTGTCTGTGTCCTTGGCACATGCAACGTCTGGCACTGCCACACTGCTACTGCTGCCCAATGGCCGCAAGGAATTTCACACAATTGCTAGAAAAATTGCAGAAAATTGAAAATGTGCGAGAGCGTATAAATTTTTACTGCGTCACTTGTGAATGCTAAATTGTTGTTATTTATGGGAGTCCCAAAGCCACACCCCCTCTGCCCCTGAAAAGAGAGTGAGGGAGAGAGAGAGAGAGAGAGATGAAAGATCATCATAGAAAACGCGGGCTCCAGAAACTGCTTGAGGAATGAAGGAAGCATTCGCGAGTCGAAATGGTAGTTTTGGGCCGCAGTTACAGCTGCAAATATATTGCAGAGCCTCGAATTCCTTCGAGATTCCTCCCTATGGTGGATCATTGGCTCCCTTATACCCCATTTTGAATGTTTAATGCGAGTACCTGATTTGGATTGCGATTTTTGTCAAGTGATTTTCTATGTGAAACTGAAATTGTGTGGCTATAATCAATCTGGAATACTGTTAGCAATCCAATGATGTCTGTCGCAAAGGTAAGCCTGTTGTCGGATTGGTTGCAGGAGATTGAATTTCACTGAGATTGCGGCATGGCAACAGTTGCCACGTGGGGTGGTGGGCGCTGCTTGGGTCTCTCTGGTCAGTAATTGATTAATGGAGCCTGATTTTGGCTACTGTTTCTGATGCCTGCTGTCGGCTGTCTGATGCCTGACGTTGAACTTATGCCACCGTTCACTGCCCGGGGGATGACTTAACCCAGGTCCAAGGATGTGGGAGGCAGAACCCGGAAAGAACAGCCCCCATGGAATGGTCAAAGTTGCATCATTTCTAGGCAGTTAATTGGATACTTTTTCAATACTTTTATCTTCCTTTATCAACCCCTACCCCTGCACGACTCTTTCTCCTTTCCATTCACTTGCCACCTGCACACACACACACACAGACAGCCTGCAAAACAGCCTGCAACACCCCCTGTGGCATGCGTAATTTATTGAAATACTCGCGCTAAATTATGAGTCTCCTGGGGGGCGCGAGAATAAAATAATTTTTTTTTTTTTGTTTTCCCTCTCTTGTTTTGGCTTCCAGGAACGGGAGTGGAAATGGTCCTGCCTCAGCTTCTGGGGGCACAGTTGCAGGTGTGCTGCTGCGAGTGGGTCTGTGTGGAAATCAGTTAACCGAAAAAGTTGGCAACTTTTTTGCTGCTGCCGCTGCCGCTTCTGGTGCTCGCTGCCTGTGAAATCAAAGTTTGAGTTTATTCAAATAAACGCCGACATTAAGAGAGTTGCAACTGTTGCGTTGACTCTGCCTCTGCCTCCTGCCTCGGTCTGTGCCCCAGTCTATGCCTTCCATGGCGGGGCATAAATCAGAGCCAACAGCCGCAGCAAATGGAAGAGGCAACTTTTTTCGTAGATAAACTTTTGACGTCATTTAACCCTCTTTTTTTCGTTGAGGGTGTGGCGTGAGGTGTGTGCTCCGGGGGGTGTTATTAATATGCTCAAGTTTCCCTTTTTGTAGAGATGAGATGTCAATCGTCTCGTGGGGCGGCTGCACCTGCTAAACAATTCGTGGCACCACAAATCGATTTCTCCCCCCCCCCCCAAAAAAAAACCAGAAGAAAATCATGAGAGTATCTTTAAATTAGGATGGGGTTGTGGGGTTTTTTTTGGGTTTCGTTTGGTTTCGTTTATTTGCACGGTAAGGCTAGAAGCTGGCAAGGAAAAAGTACGATTTGAGCGACTCAACAATCCGTTCCACATAGATGCCGTTGGAGTGCATTACAAAGATTAGATTACGCAGCGGCACAGAGTTCTGGAGGATACATTAGAGTAAAGTAGAGTTAATTAAGGGATATTTGATAGGAATATGATATACATAGTCTCTCTCTTTCTGTAAAATACGATAGTAAAAATTAATTACATGTTAAATTTGTAGCGATGAATCTCATACGCAGCTTCAAATATCATGTAATGGCTAGATGAATCTCATACGCAGCTTCAAATATCATGTAATGGCTAGATATATTGAAAAACTATAGCTATATTTTTTCTTAGCCATATTAAAAGTAATATTTGACGGGAAATATCATCGTGTGTATGCATGTACCCGACAGGAAGTGTTCATCCACAGCATCTGGACTAGATGAGGCCTTGAGAATCAGTGTAGCGAAATCAATTATCAGAAACACGCTCTCTCCATTGTATTGCCTGATATAAATATATGGATGCTGTATGTTGGATGCTCGGGAAATGCTCTCACACGCAGAAAAATAAATATAAATTGCCGCTGTGGCTGTCGATTTGATTTCATAAATATGTGCAGCACGTACCGCAGCTCAATTGCCAATTAGAAGAGAGCCAAACCCAAAAAAAGAAAATAACACAAGACCACGGAGGCCAGAATGGGGAACGCCTTGGCACTTGAAAATTCGTGGCCAGAAAAGTAAGGCCGCCCAGCATGCGGCATGCGGCATGTGGCATCCGCGTCAACGGAAGTTGATTTGTATACCGAATCGCATACAAAAGTTGCCCACTTTTAACCTGCACCTTTTTTTCCTGCTTCCTTTCGGAAAACCCAATAAAGTCAATTGTAAATTTCTCTCACGTCGCGTTGGGAAATTATTAAGGAGCCAGCCACACGGTCGACCTTCGTTTCAAATGGAATTCCTTAAACAATTTTCCACGCACAAAAAACCGATGGAGAAACGGCAGCTCAAAGCAAACAAAGCGTGTCCCCAAAAACCGAAATACAATTACCTGACGATGGGGTCTGGTGCTAGAGGGGTGATTGGGGAGGGGGGAGGTCAGAGGTTACCTGGCAATGGATGCTCACCTGAAGATTGGTTAGGATTTTGGCAAACGTCGATGTACCGATGCTGTCAACGAGGGCCGCGAACTGCTTGTCGCTTTCGGTCTTGTCGAAGAAGGTGGCCAGCAGTTGGTCCTGCGGCAGGATGTCCAGTATGCTGTCCACCAGCCCGTGCAAGCCATTGAGTGGCTCTCTAGTCGTGGCGCTGGCTAAAGTGGCTGGGGAAAATCGTTGAGTAATAGAAAAAAAGCCCCAGAATATATTACGCATACGCACCATTGCCGGCCGCTGAATTGCTGACCAAATCGAGAGACGAGGGCTTGATGGCCTTTGCCAGGGAATCCATTATCTTGAGCACATCCAGGCCGCTGGCATTCAGGTATCGTGTGAAGGCCAGCACCTCGGGCAGCTGCAGCATCTGGTGCTTAATGGCGACGAAGCTGGTAGAGAGGAAGGCGTAGGCTCGTTGCACCTCCGCATCGTGGTGGTAATAGTGGCTGGCAATCGACTGCACTTCTCGGGCCGGGATCAGAGCCACAAAGGCACTCAAATCGATCGGCTGGCAGGCGGGGCTCTCCTCTGTTGGCGGCTCCTCCTCAGACTGCTCTTCGGAGACGGATATATCCTCTGAGAGCTGGCTCTGGCTTTTGGTTTTGTTGGAGAGAAATATCAGATCATCCGAGACATTTGGTTGGCCATTTACGTCCTTGTCATCGGCCTCATCGCTGGAAGACTCGCTCAGGGTGATCAGGGCAATGTTGCTGCTGTTGTCCTCTGGCTGCTCCGTGTCCTGCACCTTGATGATGTCCTCCACCATCACAATCTCGTCGCTGTGGCCCATCGACAGGCAGATGCTCGAAGCACAGAGCAGTGCCATCATCAGTAGATGGAGCATTGGTGTCCGTTGCACTCTCATGTTGATGTGTGATCCACTGAACGAACTGGGAGACTCTGGATGCTGGTGGTCTCTTCCGCGTGCACCCTCGGGGTGTGTGGCTGCTGCTGTGTAGACTTTGGAGACTCTCGGAGCAATTGCTGAGCGCTTTGTCACAGCTTGTCCGATCGTTTATTTAATTGAATCAACAAACAACAGAGGAGTCTCTTCTGGTGCGCTAATGGGGGTCACTCGATAAAGATTCGAGTATATCAAATACTGATTTATATGGCTTATCTGTTCGCTTTGGCCAGTGCCAATGCCATTCGTTTAGGCCATAAAACGTAACCTCAGGCTCCGAGCATCGTAAATTATTTGAATGAGTGTTTCCTCATCTGTTGGAGAGGTGTGGTGTGCTGTGGTGTGCATTTCCTCATACGAGTATGTAAATCAAGCAAAACTTTACTCCCCTTTTCCCTTACTTTCCGCACTGCGATGTGATGTGTCGCTCTGATATTCACACTTTGACAGCTGTTTGAATGTCATTCGGTTACTCACTGTACGAGTGCGAGTACGAGTGCGAGTATGTGTCACTCATTCAGTCTGCTGCTCATTCAGGTCTCTCTCCTTTCCATCTCATGTACCCTCGTGTATACAGAGCATAGGATGTGGGCTGGCTGTGATATATTCATTTGCTCATTCAGCAAGTTAAGTAGGAATAAAATTGTCAATTTTCATGTCATTATTCCATGTCGTCGTCGTCGCCGTTGTCGTTGTCGTTTGCCGCGCGCATTCACTTTCGCATGTGTCAACTGTGACACTCTCTCTCTCTCTCTCGCTGCCGTATGCCCCCCATGCCCCTATACGAATATATATATATATATAGTATTTGTTAGCGTGCTCAGATATGATTTATTCACTTGGTTTGATTTATTACAGCCCCCCGGCACACACACACACACACACATACTCACTCTCTGGGCTATGAGAATGGGAATGTAAATTGCCTCTGCCTACAAAACCAATAATTGTATCGTTGTCAACGTCAGAAAGGGTCTGTCTATTCGTCTCCCTGTCTGTCTGTCCGTCTGCCTGCCTCTGTAGAACTTTACTTGGTGGGTTGTGTGGCAATTTTTTACATAAATTATTTAACTAAGCCATAAATTGATTAAAACTTTGGCCAGAAAACTGAACACTGAACACTGAACACCAGTGGTGGCCACCTATCATAACGTATGACGCTTGATAAATTTTTGGAGCCACACCGCCGCCCCTGCCGAATGGACGAACTTTTGAGCCGCAAAGTTCTTACGTTGGCAGTAAACAAAAGCTGCCAAATGGCAGCTGTAGAGTGTAGGGCGGAGGTCAGGCGGCAAGTAATCCTCTGGCCCTCGCGGACCGAAACTTATAAATTAATTTCTTGCCACACCACACAACACACACACACACACACACACACATATATACACAAAATACTTTGGCTGGCACTTGGGGCATACCAGCGCAGCAGCTGCCATAAAGGTGGCGCAGCAAGTGCGTTGCGCTGCGCTGCGGTTGCTACCGAGTTGCCACCGAGTTGCCAGCCTGCCTGCCACTTAATTAACTGCAGTCCGGCTGCCGGTCGTGTGCCGGGATCCAAAGTATGGCCAAAGTATAGCAAAAGTAGGAAGCGGTACGCACCTGTGACATGCTTCAGACCAACCCCATTCCATGGACTTCCATGGACCCTTCGTGGCGGTTAATTTCATGCTGCCTGAGCGCGTCCCTGTCCCTGCCTGCCTGCCTGCCTATCCCTCCCGCCAGACCGAGTGTGTGTGGCACGTTGTTTTAAAGTGATTTGCCTGTGCCAGAGCCTTTTGTTTATGTTGCGGCATAAGAGCCTCCGCTTTACCGCAAGTGTCAACATTTATTTCCAACTTAACACTTTTGGCGTAACATTGCGCTTAATCCGTAGCACCGTAGAACCGTTGCGCCAAGAGCCAAGAACTTGACTAATTTTGTGCAAAGTTCAGCATTAACATTACCGCAAATTAGCAAAAGTTTTTCGCACAAACAGTCGCTGCGGCAGAAAAACAAAGGAAGAAAATAAAAAATAAAAAAGCATACACGAAAGAAAGTAAAATTGCGTTGTGTATTACGACTAGAAGATACTCAGGAATTGATAGCTCGCTGAATGGAAGAGTGTTTTTAAAACGATCGACAGAACAATAAACTTTATTGATTATTGCTTAGTTGTTTTGTGATTTTCCCTCTCTTCAATTAAAATCCAATATACCCATTCACTCTGCCGTGTACCGTGCATAAACAGACACACACACCGAAAGCGAGAAGAAAATCGGAATCCAGGCCAGGGACAGGGAACAGTTTGAGTTGTGGCATCAGCAGACGTTGCCTGCCCCACTATCTGGTGGATGGTTCAGTGACTGCCATAAATTAACTTGTCGGAGGCCCAGTTGCCGCAACTTCTTTGCCAGATTTTGCTAGGAGAATCAGAGGATTCCATCCCCCCCCGACACGTATCCCTCTGCCGACACTTGGACTTGTAATCTGTTTCGCACTTAATGTTCCCTGCCCTGCCCCGCCCCGTCTTTACCCACTCTCAGTCTTAGTTCTCTGTTGTCAATTTTTACCTTTTTTTGTTGGCCTTGTTTGAAGATCAATCGATAAATGGTTCTATCCCATATTGACTTGTCCACGTCAGCCGTCAATCAGTTTCGGTTCTACAACCCTACAAAAGATGTCACTAAACCATAACAGAAACCACCAGAAAAGAGCCAGAAATCATGCTCGATTCGAGAACCGAATCATTACATACACTAGCGGATGCTCGTACATCGTTCCACGAATTTCTTTTAAGTAAAACAAACGCAGATCATTGCAATGGCATCTTCAATAATGCTTCAGTGAATCTATATATTATGAACTGCTGATGCAGATCAGGAGCTTATATTTTATCTGATCTGAAGAGCTTCCTTCGTTGCATGGATAACATCTATCAAAAATCATTGTACCACTTGTAAGGGTTTAACAAAATTATGTTCCTGCGCAGCCTTCAATCAATTGTGGAGCATGATGGTGGGCTGTGAGACTTAAGGGGAGGCTGTGGGAGGCTGCCAGGGCGGCTATGAAGGTAGGTGTGTCGAGGAGGAGCTATGGGGCTATGTTCCAACGCTTTTGACACGTTTGGCAAATATTTGAGCACGTCTAAAAGCGCGCTACGGACTACGCTGGCGTTCAATATTTTCGAATCGGGAGCACAGCCTCAGATGTACCCTGGTACCAAGAACCTCTCACACTCCTCAATGGCGTGCCAGTGCGTGCTTTGGCCTTGGCTTGTGGCTTAATTAATTTTCGCTTCCGTTAACAATTTTTATGTGGACTTTACTTGGACTCTTGGGTGCTAGCAAGAGTGTGCGAGAGGGACAGAGCAACAGAGGGGGGGAGGAGCTTCTTGCATGCGCTGATTCCGTGTTTATGGCCGCTTTAATTTGCCACTAATACGGGTCCGGGGTACGTTTGTGGCGGAATTATTTGCCGGATACATGCGATTAGTTTTGCCCAGATTGCAAATAGTTTTTTTTTTAGTTTCTTTTGCTTTTTTCTAGTATTTTTGTTTTGGCCAAATGCGAAAGCGTGCAACAAGTTAATTACATAATTCAGCACCCGCCCACGCATTCATTTTGTGGCATACTCACGGGGAGTATGTGATAAGTTATACACCCCCCACCGCACACTCCTTAGGGGTTCCAATGGGGGATTTCCGCATTAAACTAAATAAATACAACATTTTCTTTTGCCAATTCGAAATTCTGGTTAAATAGGCAACGACAACGCCAACAGGGAAAACTTGGCCAAAAGAAAAATAAAATGAAATGAAATAAAATAAAATAAAATAAAAAAGAAATAGCAGCAGCAGCAGAGGCAACAGCAAAGAAAAGCGTCTTAAAAAATAAGCTAAAAGTCTTTTGAAGTTTTCCCAAGTAAAAGCGAACCAAAGAGAAGGGGTCACGGGACCACGGGCTGGAGGGAACACATGAGAAGGATGAGAGGACCAGCAGCGCGCGATATAAAGTTGGGGCTTTTTGGCTTTGACGCACGTAGCTCCCGATTTGAAAGTTTGTCGTGTGTGCTCCCTCACTCTCTCCTTTTCTCTCTCTCTCTCTCTCTCTCTCTGTGTGCAGAGTGAACAACAAGGAATCGACAGAGCCGTGCAACAGAATACCCTGCCGCACCAACCCTGCAGCACACTCAACTCCTCATTTCGTGTGCTGCATCGCTTTTATTAAGCTTATAAATTTTTTATTTAAGACTTTTCACTTTGAGCTGTTTGTGCAAGCCTCGGGGTAGCAGCAGCAGCAGCAACGGCAGCGAAAACAAGAACTGAACGACAGTCATATGACATTTATTTGAGACGCGCCGCAAAACATTTCAATTTCCCATATTATTCCCCAACGCCAAGCTACACCTCCACCCGAATTCAGTCCATAAATTATCCAAATAGTTAATGCCGAAAAAACGTGTGATATATAGTGTGACAATTTCATTAAATACCCAAGAGCCAAGAGCACCCACCAGCCCCCCAGATGCACAGGCACATGCATTTTTTATATCGAATATCAATAATACAAAAAAAAAATGCCATCAACAATAAATAAAAAGAGAAATATATACCCACATATATGTACGTGTATATGTATATTGCATATTTGATAAACTGCAACAATGTCCCCATGTCGCATGTGGCTTGACCGCTCTTTTGAGGCCTCGCCGTATTAGGTTTTCGAATATTTTAGCTCGCAAATGCAACGAAATCCATGTGGAGCAGGGAGTTTTTTTGATTTGATTTGTGGCGCACACTAAGCCAGAGAGTTTGGCAAACTAAAAACTGCATATTTTCATGGGACACAACAACGATGGAACGATGGAGATACCCACTACATGGAAATCCTTTTTGAATAGAGAATGATATGGTGGCTTGACTTCGGCAAAATTTTAACATTTGTTTCTGGTAGATTAGTAGATAACATTTATAACTATAATAGATAATACAAAGTCGCAGTCCCTAGAGGTATGAGTTTCGCATAGAAGTTTTGAACCATTTCTTCCAAACTCTATACGCTTCTGCTTCATGTACTATCCGAATTTAGCCATTCCCAAATTCTGGACAAATGGCCCGTTATCTAGTTACCTCCTAGCACCTAGGTGCCCTCCCTCGGCTGCCATTTTTTCACTCCATCGTCCGCTTTGATAACAAGTTAGTGGCACCACGTAGCGTATGCGTAATATGACTGGTTGTAAGTAGTAAGAGCCAGAGCCTCACGTGCTGCATATAAATTGCTTCGTTTGAACATTTTTCAAAATGAAAAAGAAAGGAAAAACCCAGCGAAAAAAGAGGAAAACTCAAACTTTTGTTTGTCCCCAAAGTGAGGTGCAAATGACTTTTGTTCTTTTTGCTCGTTTGCCTTGCCTCGCCTGACAACTGTCGAAATAGTCGAGCATCGAGCATCGAACATCGAAATGACCAAAGCTTTTGGTATTGCCTAAACGTGCGTGTGAATGACCAAAAACTGGACACGGACACACAAGTATTTATGGTAGATGGGATATTTTGGGTGGGAATGGGAAGACAGTGGGATGGAGGGGACTATGTACATGTGTGCATGTCGATGTGGCCAAAAGGAAATCAATTTCCATATGCAAAACTTTTTTAGTGCACGTGCTGGAGCTGACGCTAGAGCAGGGGCGGAGAGAAATCGAATTTTGTCCATAAAATATTCAAATTGTTCTGTATAAACGACGCATAAACATTCTTTGTGCATGTCCCACCCCATTGACCAGGTGGTGATTGGGACGGACACACACCTGCATGCAGTGCCTGGTCCACACCCACACTATTCAATTTTGATCAGTTTCAGGAGGAGACTCCAGCTCCTTCTGCAACCTCCATGAATCGCATAAATTTTTATGTTCAAATGCCAAAAGCCGTAGGCTGGGCCTCTGAGTGGGGGAGTTGAAATTGTTTCTGAGGCTGGGGCTCGATCGCTTAATGTGGCCCGCGGCAGAAATTCAATTTGTAGCACATCCGTGGCCAGCGAGAGGCACAAAAAGAATGGAGAGAAAACTGCAAATGTGAAAAAATTGCAAATGTCCGACTGTCAGGAGCAACCCAAGGAGCAAAAACCAAAGCGAAACGAAACTGAAGCTGAAACAGAAACAGAAACTGAAACAAAACAACTGAAAAGTCTCCCCTGGGCGATGCACCCAACTCCGACACCACAAAAGATACGAGAGGACAGAATCCAGAGTCCAGAGGACAGAGGCTGTGTTGCAGTGGCAGGACCTCTGTGGGGGCTGCTTCTACTTTGCTATGCGAGCGAGCGATTGATTGAAAATTGATTTCATTATGAACCTGTGATGCATTCAGGCATCCCTACCCTCTTGACACCTCACACACACACACACATACACACGAGTATCACTCAACACTGTGACAACCCCTAACCATAGATACCATCAGGCATCCATCCATTCCCACGGTATCTTCAGTTGATAATTGGATTTCGAAAGGTTCCCTCCATCCCAATCCCTTACTGTCTCTGGAAGTGTTTTGTGCATTTCCTTTTAAAATTAGTTATGGAATTCTCGCTGTATTTAAATTTTTGTATCCCCCTTATCGAAATGTTCAAGACCTAAGGGACTGGTGGAAAGGTGGAGAGATGATGGCAACATCTGAGGCAACATCCACCGCCCTCCACCCAGATCCACGAAATTAAGCCGCTTATGGCCAGAGCCCTTTGCGTCCCTTTTTTTTTTTTTTTAATGCTCAGACCATGATGCCATGGTCTTGTCCCTGTCCCTCGTTCTGGGCCATATTCCGTTTCCGTTTTGGCGGCGCTCCAGCCGTCCACCCAAATATTACTCAGTTGCCATTTCACTTAAGATTCCGGCTGGCCAAGTGCACTTGTGGCTGTTGTCTGTCTGTCGTGTATTTAGCATAAAAGGTAGCACCATGTCTTTCGCATGGTCTTTGGTTGCTTTTGATGTCTGCCATTGTTGATATTTTGCATCAGAATTCGGCCAAGGAAGTGGAGAGGATGCGGCGGATCCCAAGCGGAAGTGTCGACATTTTTGGATGTCACTCGGCATTTTGAGGTCGCCGCAAAGTGCGCAGCAGAATTTGCATAATGCCAGCAGTAGAAGGGGGTGCGGTCTAGGATTGGGGATGGAATGGGATGGCTGTCCCTCTCGGGTTGCTATGCAAATGTGAACAAGATGCGTGTACCATTTGGTGGGGCCAAGGGTACGCGTGAGATGATCCCTGTAAATATGAGCTGAGTTGCCCGGGTTAAAGTGATTTGATATCCAAGTGGGCGACGCCTGGCGACACCCAATATCAAAACACACACAAAATTCGAGACACTGAACGATGACTACACCGAGGAGCAGGAAAGGCCCCACACAGAAGGAAAAGGACGAGCTGGATTGCGTGTCTGGTGATGCCAGGGACCAGCAAATATCGCGGATACCTCGCGAGCTGGACAACTTCTGGCGCATGGATCCGCGCCTGCCGAGGGGCCTGCTCAATGGCCACAGCTACCTCAGTTCGCCCATATTGAACAAATCGCTGGCCTTCAGCGACTACGAGCGGCGAGTGCTCTCCATCCACGGCATGATGCCGGTGGCTGTGCGCACCATGGACGAGCAGGTGGCCGCCTTCAAGATGATATTCGATCAGATGACCACCCGGACACAGCAGTACATATATCTGCGCAATCTGGGAGGCACCAATCGGCGGCTTTTCTACCACCTGCTGCAGACCGATTGGGACACCTACATGCCTGTGCTGGATAGCTCGGCGTCGGACTTTCTGATCAAGTGGCACGGTCTGTTCTTCCTCCAGTCGCAGGGCATGTACATAACGATCAAGGATCTGGGCCACGTGGGTCAGTTGCTCAGGAACTGGCCACGTCGCACCGTTCGCTGTGTGCTGGTCACCAACGGCGCCTCCGTGCTGAGCATCGGTGACTATGGCATCAATTCTATGGCCGTTCTATTATCCATTTTACATCAGAACGTCATCTTGGGGGGCATACATCCGGACTTCTGCCTGCCCCTGGTGCTGGACGTGGGCACCAACAACGAGGACCTGCTCCAGGATCCCCTCTACATGGGTCTGCGAGAGCATCGCACATCCCGCTCCAACTACCACAAGCTCTTCGACGAATTCGCCCTGGCCGTGCTGCAACAGTTCGGTTCGCGTACCACCATCCTGTGTAAGAACTTCGACGCCCAAAATGCCATCTACCAGCTGGAGAAGTACAGGAAGCTGCAGTGCTTCGTGGACATTGACTTCCAGTGCCAGGGGGCCTGCGGTGTGTCCGGCGTGATTGCGGCCAATCGCATGAAGAGAATGGAATTCAGGAGCAACACGTTCCTCTTCTACGGCACCCATGCCATGAACATTGGCATGGCACGCCTTTGCCTCGTCTTCTTCATGCAGGAGGGCCTGATCGAGGGCGCAGCCCGGCAGCGGATCTGGTTCTTCGATGAAAAGGGCTTGGTGGTGGGCAATCGAAAGGGTCCGCATATACCAGAGGTGCTGCACCCGTATATCAACTATGGTGAGCCGACCGAGGATCTGGCGGCTGCCATTGACCAGATTCGGCCCAATGTCCTGGTCGGTGCCGGCTCCCAGCCAAATGTCTTCACCAAGGAGGTGCTGCGCGCCATGGAGCGGAGCGCCGAGCAGCCCATCATCTTCGCCATGTCGCGGCCCATCGAAAATGCCGAGTGCACCGCAGAGGATGCCTTCACCTACACCAAGGGCCGTTGCATCTTCATCACGGGCTCGCGTGTGCCGCGTTTGAAGTATGCCAACAAATGGTACCAGCCGGGACGCAGCAACAGCATCTACCTGCAGGCCGGCATTTCGCAGGGCATCCTGCTCTCGGGGATGACCACCGTGCCGGATGAGACCTTCCTTGTGGCAGCCGAACGACTGGCTTGCCTCGTCTGGCCCGACGACCTGGCCCAGCGCAATGTCTATCCGCCGATTCGGAAGATCCAGTGCATCAATCAGCGTATCACCGAGGCCGTCTTCGCCTATGCCTACCGCAAGGGTCTGGCCACGCTCTGGCCGGAGCCTGAGAATCCCACCGAGTATATCAAGAGCCACATGTACGACACCAGCTACCGGACGGTGGCCAGCCCAGTGTACTGCATGGAGGATAGTGTGATTGCCACAACCGAGTCCCACAAATACTACAAGCAGAACATATAGATCCAACATATTGATTGCCCCATGTTATTAAAGAAAGATAGAGAGAGAGAGAGAGAGAGAGAGCCAAATTGCATGGCATATCATATCTAATAACAGTTGTTTGCCCAGGCTTGGGCGGGGATCGGGATCTGGTCTATGGTTCTGCATATTGATTTCGATTCGAACCGTACAAGTGGCCCAGAGTCCTGGGGCAGTGGCAATGGCAGTGGCAGCCAGCGGGCAATTAATTGCATGCAATTTTCATGTGTCAACTCATGCTGTGTGTGTGTGAGAGTGTGTGGTGCAGGGGGTGGCTGGAAAAGTCTCCACTGGGGGCACTATATGACGTTGACACTATCCATAACACACACGCACACATGTGGAATTAATGCACAAATTTAATATAAGAACCCCATGAAATACCCTGTACTTTAAACAGCACAAATATTACATTAGATCTTTTTTTTTTTTTTAAATATGAATATGCTGATCATAAAATAATTTCTGCTTACTATTATGGAGTGGGTAATGCTTGCGCTTCTGCCTGTTATACCCTTTTGTAGCCCCGCCTGCTTGTGCCGGGTAAAATAATTGAAACAACCACCATGAAATGCTATGAAACAAAGCCACAACAAAAATTCAGACAAATTAAATTGCATGAGTATTTGATTGTGTTTAAATGTGTGTGTGTGTGTGTGTGCTGGTCTGGCAGTGACAGGTGCATGTGTGTGTGTGCATCTGTGCAGGAGAACATGATATTTCATTTCATTTATCAAATATGGGAAATGAAATGCATACGCCATTGTGTCGGGTTTTTGTCTGTCATATTGAATTATTTGCTTAGTTTCTGCTGCTGCGTGCTGCTGCCTGCCATTTAAACCATTGATCGACTATCGGCACTGGAGGCTACAAATGAATGGAGAGTTTCCAGAAAAACATAACACGAATTTTCATTAGTTTCGCATTGGAAGAGGGTGAGGCTACCCCATCACAGCTTCCTTTCCCTTTTCATTCATTTCAGATACATCCTATATGTATGTTCCACTGACAATAGGTATACCTGGCTATTGTTCAGAAACAATTTGCCTCTGCTTTTATTGGCTATCTCAGCTGTGGAAGAACAGAAGAAACCGCACCACCCACTAGGCTGGCCCCCAGGAGATAACTTCATAGCCAATTGTTTTCAGGCTCTGCGCATCAATATCATGGCCGGACAGCTCCCGGATCACACTCGCCACGTTCTTTGAGCTCTAAAAATAGAGATATGAATGTTTGTAAGTACATATGGCATTGCACCACCTTACCATGGCTGCCTCCACCATTGTTTTGAACTGTGCACTCCGTAGGGCCTCATAGAACTTGGCGAATATGGGACTGCGCTGGCGCTTCTCACTGATGAGCGCCACAAAGCGGTCACGGGGCAGATGCGTCAGTAAATCCTGGACAAAGCTGATAAAGGAACCCACTGATTCGCTCACAGATTTCACTTTAAATGATGCCTCCGGCTGGATGAGCACCAGAACCACCTCCTCGCTGATGTCCCATCGAGAGCCCTGCACATTGTACACACTACGACGCTGGATATGATTTCTGTAGCGTTGGGAGTGGTTGGGCCAATACCAGCGGACTTTGGACCGGACGGCAGTATCATTGAGGTGCACAAAGTTGACTATCTCCACGACCTCTGGCAGGGCCTCAGTGCGCTGTTGTAATCGCTTGAAGTCGGAACTGCGTAGAAATTTCACAGCCTTGCGGAAACCCGAGTCGGTGATCAAGTGCTCTGCCACCAGCTCATCGATGGTGGCACTTGGTATAAGCTTTGTAAAGTCCCGCAGTTCATTTATCAGCGCCGGTGAATATCTGACTTGTCTGTGATTCCGATGAGCATGGGGACACTTGGCCGAAACCAGCACTAGCCCGAGCAGCAGTAGATAAAGCATTTTAATTGTTCAAGTCAATTTTTTACACTAATCTCTTCGATCTGCTCTTCGCACAACTGTTTAACTTTTACTCCGCGTGATTTTGTTTTGGGCGGCGACACTTTTGCTCTCAAATGCTGTGAAGATTTCTGTTTATGACACATTTACTGCTACATAAATTACCCTTACACTGGGAGTACATACAGCAGTGGCAAAATCTGTCAAGCAGGGTAGTAAACGGCTACTTCAATGATTACTATCCGTTGTTTGTTTCGGGCAGAAATAATATATAAATTAGTAGTGTCTCTTGCACTTAGCCCCCGCCTTCACTGATTGAAATCGTAGTTGACGATTTGATTTCAAGGGTAACGACACGTCGATCCCCTGAAGCTACTGGTCCTTATCTTGCAATTGCTGTCGCTCTTGCGCTCTCGTTCTCTCTGCTTTGTGCACAAAAACGTCGGCACTCGCAAACAAAGTAGCAAATGGTAAGGTAAGGAAGTTTTACTCTCCGTGTAGCTTGCTCTCTTCCGCTCTTCTTGTGTCACACTAATGCATATATATTTAAATATTTAAATCTACACACCCAGCGACTAGCTGCCTAATAAATGAAACACCCTCTATATTATATACCTTGGCAGAAACAGTAGCAGCAGCAGCAGCTTAAAATTCGACTTCGAATTCAATGCGTACAGTCGCGTCCCCCACAATTCGCCACACCAATAAAATAAACAAACTCGAACTTTCGTTTTTTGCTTATTAAAGAATCTTATCACATTTATTTACTGCATTTTCTTTATATGTGTTTACAGCTAATTTGTTTTGTTTTGTTTTATTTCATTGAATTATTCTGTTTTCCGTTTGGGTTTTTTTGTTTTTGTTGGAATATTTTATAGCTCTTGAATCATCAATTTGCATTTTTTTTTTTCAAATAGCTCGAATTGAACTACATTTGAATTTTTGTAATTTAAGCGCAAATTCTCGTTTATTGTATGAATACTTTGTAAAAGTGGTTTATCTATGTATGTATTTATTGCTGTTTGTTTTTGTGTCTGTGTGTGTTTTTGTTTGTGTATGTGTGTATATAAATTGCGAATATTTTATTATTAGTTATTACTATTTTTACAATAAATTGTGTATTAAGTACTCAATTAATATTAATTTCCATCTTTAATTGCCATCATGGCAATTGAATTCTGTTTTCTGTCAGTTTTTTCTCTTGTTTTCAATATCTTTTTACTCAACATCATGTGATTGTCATACAAAACATTTCACATAATCTTCAAATTATTTACAATAAAATTCTCGAACACAAAAACTACCAAAGGCGACAACAAAAATCATTTGATTCATTAAAGTTAGAAGCTCAGAGCATTAGTAGCTTTTAAACATTATCCATAGTTTTTTGTTTTTGTTTTTCTTTGTAGTATTTATTATTTTAGTATGCAACGATAAAAATGTTGGTTATATTTTTCCTATTTTTCGGTTGGGAAACATTTAAAATTTTGCTGAGAAAATCTTTAGAAAAATATTGTTTGTGTGAGTGTGTTGTGTGTTTTTGTGTGTGGGATAATGGTTTAGTTAGTGTCCCATTCATTTTGTTTTCCTCTATTTTTCTGCAAATACTCGTACCTTTTCGGTTTAACTGTTCTGTAAAGCGTTTAGTTTTTCCATGGCTTATGCTCTTTTTATGGCTTTTTCAAAGTATTTCCTTCGTATTAGGGATATGCTTATCCCTCTGCCTACTGTTGCCTCTGAGCCATAAAATACATATGTCTTACTAAATGCATTTGTATCGTGTGTCTGAGTTACTTTTTTAGTTCGTTTTTTCTATAAAAACGTACATATTTGCCACACCAACTAACCTACAGCTAGGGGTTAAGTAATCTCATGAGCATGTTGGATGCTGGTCTCAATGCAGTAACTTTATGTACGATATCTATGTATTTATGGTTAGCACTAGAGGTTATCTAGACGTTAATATATGTATGTATAACTATATATTTATTGCTTATCATAAACATTACAGGCCAACGCACAATCTATACAAGAGCGAGTTAATGCCAAATAGCGAATCGTTCAAAATCAAAATCGAATTGTAGAAACGTAGAAATCAATGTCTGGTTAAATATCTTATCAACTAAAGCAGTTCTACTATATACAACATCCACCATTATCCTCGATCCATAATCCTCTTTACCTATCTGCTGTGCGTCATGGATTCTGATTCTGTTTCTCTTTCTGCTCTGTTCTGTTCTGTTTTGGCTATATAGTATAAGTTGGTTCCGTACTTGTCTATGACCTAAACATTGGGCAGATATTCAAATACATACATGTACATATGCATGTACGTACGAGTATATGTATATATTGTAATGTATACGTATAGCTTAGTCTATGTTTAGTTAAACAAATATTGCTAAGTAATATACAAATTCGTTTAAGATCTTCCCAACCCCAAAAACCCAAAATGGCCAAGCGACGAGTTCTCGAAAACATAACTAAATGGAAATTAATGTTAAAAGTGATCATCATTATCATCATCATCATCATGTGAGCTATGTATGTATGTATATAATTGTCAGATTCTCACTTTAGGTGGTTTTTAATCCTTAACCGTAGCTCGAAATAGATATAGAGATTCTCTGTGTCGGAGAGTGTATTCTGTGTGTGTGTGTGTGTGTAAAACCGTAATTTCCATTTGATTTATGGCAGGATCCTTTTTCTAGTAACTTTTATCGTTTACTCCATCTTTGTATATCAGTTAGTTAATGTCGAAATCAATCAATGTTTGACGCTGACAACATCTCAAAACGAACGGAAACGGAAAGGCAAACGTAACGAATGTGTGATCAAAAAACTCATTGAAATTATCCGAAATATTGTCGATGCTAAAAGCTTAAAAATTTCAGTCTTTGTAGTTGGTTTCTGCTCGGCTCTTGTCACATGATTTTTCCCATCCTGGCATCTTCATCTCCATCTTCTTCCTTCTGCTTACTGTGTTTGGTTTTGCTTCATTTCCTTCGCACCTGAAATAACATATACACCAATAGAAACAGAAATTAAATAGGGCATATAATAATAGGGCGGGGTCAGGGCATTGGGGAAGGGGTGTGGGGTGGTAAGTCATTTCCTCTTGGTGGGTTTCAATTGCGGGTTGTCTTACATCTGCACTCAACTTACATTTACATTTGAACTAGAAACTTTAGAAACGAGCAAATATGGCAAGCACGAACACGAAAATGTACAGTTTGTGGTGGGCGGGCGGCACGCCTCCCTCCGACGCTGACGACGACAAGAACTCAGAGCTATATAAGTACTCTGTGGAGCAGCAGGGACATCGGCAGCAGTCCAGGGGGTAATGGGCAATGGACATTTTTGGTTAGAATTTTGGTTAGGGTTTACACTCGAAAGAAAATAGTTTGAAACAGGAAACATTTTTTACTGTTCTGATATGTTCTAAAATTGTCAGCGTATGTTTTTCAATTGCTTGTTTTTTGTGTAATTCTGTATTCTATAATAAACGTAGAATTTTGTTGCAAGCAAAATCCGCATTGAAATGCTCGAATTTCTTTGCATTGCAGGATATTTTTTCAATTAAAAAATTAAAACATTTCAAAACAATTTTTATTGGTTTTTCGACTGTTGTTCAACTGTGAATGATTATATGAAAGTGGTTGAACCAATGTGGTGGTGGTGGTTTTTGTGGTTTTGGTGTTAGTTTGGGTTCTGGTTCTATTTCTGGGGTACTTACTTCTGGGTCAGACCAGGGCATCATTGCTGAACACATCGTTGACATGTTTGCCATTGCTGCTGACAGATCCTGCCTTGTCCTTGAGGCCGCATTGCTATAACGGGAGAGTGAGAGAATGCGAAATAAAGGAATTATGAAGGTTTTCTATGCACAGAATATTTGCCAGCAAATTAGAAAATAATTAAAGCTCAAAGAGGCGCCCCCAGGCCGTCCCGCACCTGGCGCTGAAAAATTAATTAAAACAATTAACGGCAGATGGTGCGGGCCCCTGCCCCCAAGGCAATTACCGAAATTCTCGTATAATTTTGGACTTCTCAAGAAATTAAATAAAGTGCCACCCACCTCCTGTTTGGCCTGCCATTGTTTCATGGCCGATTTGTATTTCTCGAATTCGTTGCACCAATGCGAGTAGATCTTCTGGTAGTCCTGCTTCTGCGATGGAGGCGAGCATCTGTGGCAAGAAATAGGGACAGCGAGAGAGAGAGAGAGATAGAGCATGGAAAATACGTTATTGACAGTTGCGGCCTCGGCCTCAGGAAAAGTTGGCCAAACTGCTAATTGCGATGCCACGCCCGGAGCTTGAGACTCACCTGTGCGCGTCCACGGTTACCCCATAGCTGCAGAGCAGGGTGCCATCCAAGTAGCTATCATAGCGGCCGCCGTCGCCCTCATTAACCGCCAGCAGGACCAAGCCGCCCTCGTTCGTTTCAATGTATTTGGTGGGCGTGTAGCGTACCTCATAGCTGCCAGACAGAGAGAAAAAAAGATATAGATATAAATAGGGAGGAAGAGACTGTTAGAGAGCGAAGATTTTCCATTTTCAAACCTCGTGAACGCATTGAAAACGCACAATAAAAATCAATATATAAACTGTGTGTGTGTGCCAGACAGCGACTTTTGTCGCTGTGGCAGAAGTAAGTTGAAAGTTTTTCCATTACTTGAAGCCCCAGAAGCAGCAGCAGCAGCAGAAGAAGCAAGAGTGGGAGCATGGGGGTTGGCTGCAGGACTCGGAGACGGAGCAGCATCCCCAGTCAAATAAGCGTAAACGCCAAAAAGCAGACTTGGAGAGCATCTTAAAGTGTCAAATTACCGCAGCATTGGCAGCAGCCAGGGCTAAGTGAGATGAAGCGAAGTTTCGCTTACACTTTTACCCCACCATTTCATTATTTGCTTTCAATTTTTCAAGAGATTCAAAGAGATAGATCTGGTAGATGGATATGGACTGCCGACGGCGACGACGACGACACTTACCGTCCCTTCTCCGTGGAGTGATGATACCATCGCGTCTGCTTCTTCCTCAGCACCTCTGGCATCTTGACGAAGCACGAGAGATGCAGAGTCTGGCCGTAGGAGGAGGTGACACGCTTGCGGAGCACACTCGTATCGCAGATGCCCGACGTCTCGTTGGCCACATCCTGAAGGAGTCCGAGCTGGTAGGGACGGCAGGCATTCACCTCCTGGTCCCAGCCGCAGTATGGATCGGCCACACAACGGAAGCAGCTGTCGTAGCGGCGGGCGCACATGGCAATGTCGATCTGCTTCACCTGGTGATCGGTGGCCAGGTAGAGGGAGCCCGTCTTCTGGCTGAGAATCAGTTCGCGGATGGGTTCGTTGTGCGGCGAGGCCTCGAAGATGTCAATCAGATTGGAGTGGCGCTGGCCGTAGTGCATGAACTGGACAATCTTGTAGATTTGCCCCGAGCTGGTGGCCACAAAGTACACCAGAAACTCCTGGTTCAGCTTGTCGATGCGTATCCTAGGGCGGAGATACAATACAAAGAAAAAAAACCATGAAAGGAGAGACGTTAGAACTGGGGAAAAAGCAGGGGCAGCCACATTGGTGGCAGGAGCTTAACTAAAAACACATCCTGCGGCACATTGTTCACAAGTTCCGGCCAAGTCAAAACATTTCTCGCTGCCAGAACTACGGTCTCTGTGTCCATGTCTCTGTCTCTGTCTCCAGGCCAGGGCCTCAGAGAGTGAGACAAATGTCAACAGGGGATATACTCTGCAGTGTGGCTGTGGATGTAGCTGTGGCTGTGGCAGTGGCTGCCTGCCAAGGAGACTTGCAACCGGCAACTGGCAGCGCTAATGAATATAATTTTCACTTACTTGTCCACCACCAGCTTGGTGAGTATTATGTCTCGCTTGAAGAAGACCGGATTGCCAAATTCATGATCGACCGCCTTGTCCATTAGCGGATGTTTACGTATGAAATTCAACACGGAGTCCGGCAGTGTGGCGGTGTCGTTGTGGCATGTGCCCGGACGTGGCTCCGGCACTTTCTGGTTGAGTACGGGCAGCCAGGCGCTGTTCGAGCTGGCCTGCTCCTTGAATTTTCCTGAGTGGATGGGAAAAAAAAGCGAAGGAGAGAGCGAGGACTGCATCAGTATGGAGTATGGAGCCGAGGAGAATGCTACACTTAATTTATGTGTGTCAGTGCGAGTGTTTTTGTGGCAAGAGCTGATTTGTGGCAAAAGAGCAGCAACAAGAAAAAATATAAAATACATTTTAACCATCATATCCTGGCCTTCAATGTGGCTTCAAGTGTGGCTGTTGCATAATCGTTTCTTCCCATAATTAATTGCTGTGGCATTTCCCCACATTTTTTTTTTTCCTCTGCACTCAACGTGCTGTCTGTCTATCTATATCTGTGTGTGTGTGTGTATATGTGAGGTATCTGTGTCTGTGCAACATGCCCGCAAACTTTCCGTAATGAATTTTAAGTGTATGCCAGATTTTTTACTCCACTTGCCCTGTGGCATTCTGTGTCTGCCGCTGTCTGCCCGATTGTCTGCCTGTCAGTCTTGGCAGAGCTCCATACACACACACACACACACACACACACATTCTGTGGCACACAACTTTATGGTGTTAATGAACTTTTTAAAACCATACAGCAGACGTCGATATATCGACTATAAGATACCCGCTACTCAAATATTAGTGGAATTAAGTGGAAGCGAACTATCTGAATGAAAAAATTAATCCTGTATACCCTTTTATTCTGCACCTTTACAGGGTATGCAACGTGTTTTTTAGAGTACTCATATGAACATTTTATTCAACCGATACCCGGGAAGAAACTTTAATCCGTGGAATGAAATTCAAGATGGATCTGCTGACCTGAGAACGACAATGTTTTCATAGCACAGATGATGGGAGGGGAACTGTAGAGGAAAATTACGAGCAGTGCTCCCATCAATTCAATGCGCGTCATTTAACGCTTAAATTTCAGACGCAAAGGGACAAGGGACCAGGAACCAGGACTCCACCTGTGCGCGTGATTCCATCCGCAGTTGTTCCAAGAAAAAAGCTCCACATAAGAATTATGGCCAATGCAATAAATCAGAAAAGCACACACATACACACACACACACATATGTATACCCTCTCCATGGGGGGTGTGGGTGCTTGGAGAATCCCTGGGACGACTCACCTTCAAAGGCCGCATTGATGTCCCTGATGTCATAGCTGCAGACAGCGGAACCAATCAGACCGTTCGTATTCGTTGTAAAGGTGGCATAGAACTTGCTGTCGTCGCTGGGCATCTTGTAGACCGACTGGATCTCGTTGAAGTAGAAGGGGAACTCGCTGGAGATGCTGCAGTTCATGCGTGCCTTCAGATACGTGGCCCAATTCTGGCTGATCATGTATTTGCCGCCGCGATCATTCTTGCAGACGCGCGCCACACGGGAGTAGACCTCCTTGCCGCAGTTTATATACTCCACGGCATGTTCGCGGAAAAAGAAGTACACGAATTCCCCAATCTCAAACGAGCCCACAAAGTTCGGTTCTGCAAAAGGGGAGTGAGAAGAGTTTTTTCGTTTGTTGGTGAGTACATACACATTTTAAGGGTATGGATATTTCTGTTCAACTTACTGTCCAATAGCTTGGAGTCGTATTTCACTGTTCGCTTGAAGTTTGCCTCCTTGCGGCCGTTGGTCAGATTGTAGAGATCCGAGCGGAATATAACCGAATCGGCCTTGGTGAATTCTGCATTGGTGCCGGCATACTGAATGTCGATAGGGTGATACGGAGATGTGTGTGTAAGAATAGGGCTGATAATGTCTTGGTTAAGGCCTCAACATCACGCATACGCCCAGTAAGCCTTGTCGGGGCACGCACGCACACAATTACGCATAAAGTGTACGCACGTGCCTCCCTCTTCTATTGCTCGCTCTAATTTAATTTCAGCTGCTTTATTGCTGCCGTTGCTGCTACTGTTGCTGCCTCTCTGTCTTTAAAATTTGTCTTTCCTCTGCCTCAAACCCACACACAACTTTTCCATCGACTTCCTTCCCATGGTCCCTGGTCCCTGGGCTGTGCCTCCCTCGTATACCCCTACTACACTTTACTTTACTTTTGTAATTTTATTACAATTGACATTTTTCTTTTTATTTCTCCCTTCTTCCTTCTGCTGCCTTTTCGGTTTCTTATTTTTTTTGTTTCCTTTTCTTCGTTTCACTTCCGTTTTTGGGGGGCCCTGAACTTACCAGTGCGGGCAAACCAAAGGGATTTCCGTTCTCCACATAGACGGCGGTTGAGTTGTCAGCAGGATCGTAGGGACACTTGCCAATGCCCAGGCCAACGCCGGGCACGTACTGGGATCTGGGTAAATGTGTTAAGTTTGCCTAAGGGTTGCGATTCGGGATTCGGGTTCGTGTTTGGATTGGGGTTCGCATCGCGTGAAGGGCGGAGCAGAAAGAGAGCGAGAAGAAAAGAAAAGAGGCGCATTAGTTGACTTTAATTTTCGGCAAAAACTCGACTGACATTCACAATTAGTCAGTCAGTCGCCCAATTCTTTCCCTGCAGCATTTCCCATTTTTTTTCTACACTTACATTTATAACGTAATCCTTGGGATTGTGGGCATTCGTGCCGCACACATAGAGTCGGTGTCCATGGAAGTTCATTGGCTGGATGACGCGTATGTGGTTGCGGCATTCCACCTTCTTGTCGGTTGCCATTTAATAGATTTTCGTTTAGTGTAATTGTAGTTGTAGCACGTATAAATGTTGGAAACCAAAAAATTTTAAGCCAAATCAAAATATCAAAGATGCAAATGGAAATGGGAAATGGCAAAGGCCGTGGCATGAGTAAAGGTCACAATTTCAGTTCATACAAAATTTTGCACATGCTTTGGTCAGAGGTTTATGCTATACAAATACATATATGTACATATATTTGTATGTATGTAATGCCTTATGAATGGTATTCTGACTCACCTCCCGCTTCCCCTTGGACACACAGTTGAGGATGTCAGAGCCGGTGGGTTCCAGGATGAGGACATCGCGCTGTAAAACAAATTGACGCAGGGTAAAATTTCTCTGTTTCCAAAGTTTATTGAAAGCGTGCTGGAATGTTATGTTGCACCCCAGTCTCTTTTTTTTTCTCTGTTTGGTGGCACAAACATTTTTCTTGTGTCTGCACTGGGGGAAACCTTGATTAAAATTGCATACTCGTAATTGAAATATTGAACACAATTGAAATATCGCACCAATTATTTTCGGGGCTTTATTCCGTAGATTTATTTTAATTGAATATGAATTCAGATTGTTGCTCTGAATATAAGCTTCCATTTCTCTCAGTGTACTACTGTATCTGTAGCTCTGTTTGTCTAGCTTTGTACGTATCTCACGTTGAGCATTTGTTTATTTAATTCGATTGTTGTTGTTGTTGTTGTTGCGACAGCACATCTGAATCTAGAATGAAAATCCTACTGACATCCCTTTCCACTGAATGATTCAATAAATTTTGAAACCATTTCAGCAGAATTCTTTGGCAAAGTGAAAGCCACAAATCAATGGAAGAAAGAAATAGTAGAGAGAGAGAGAGAGAGAAAAAAGCCATCCACTGACAATTTTTATGCTTGACATATAGACACAATATCCGGTGCCTGCTGGATGGATGCACTTTTCCACTTTCCACTTGCACTTGCCGTGGCCATCGCCAGGGGGACAGAGAAAGAGAGAGTGTCAGTGCTGGGGATGGGCAGTCGTGTGGCTAAGTGCTGGAGGGGCCTCAACTTGAAATGGAATGGAATTCCTTCGGTGACCCGCTCAGAAGTCAGCACAAATAATTGCTGTTAAAAGCATTTGCTCCTGGCTCCTGGTCAGGAGATGTCTCCGGAGAGGAAGGAGCCCTGGCCCTAGAATCCAGCCAAGGCAGACGGCAGCAAAAAAAAAAAAAGAACTCAACTCAACTGAACGTAAAACGCTTGAACGGACAGAGGCGGATATTGACAGTTGAAGATGGAATCATTAAAGTGCAATTGCGTGCTGTCACAGATGAAACTCTGAAAATGGTTTCCACGGGACACTTTGAGAGACGGAAGGACTCTTACCTCGCAAATCGATTGGCTTATGTTGCGCAGATTCAACCGAAAGATGCGATCCCTGCAAGAGACAACAGAAAAAAAGATACAAATGATTAGTCAGGTAAATGATTAAAGAGGCAAGCTTTGTCGCAGCACACCCCACACACCCGACACACCCGGACCCACTCGACACACGACCTAATCCCCGACTCGTGGCACCAACCAGACGATAGGTTAATGCCACACCAGTTGCCACCTGTCTGCCGTTGGGGCAGAGGTTGCGGATGTCAATGTCTTTTTATTTTGAAAAATTGTCAAGCCCGTCGCTGGTAGATGCACCTGCTGTGCGGCCTGTCAAGCCCTGCCAGCGTACTTATTGCAGTCACTGTGCCTTGATTGATTGATATGTCGAATGTCGCAATATTGCGTGTCCATATTCCAGGAGAGAGGCTCAACATTGAGCGGCAGAGCTGTAGGCAGAGGCTGTGGGCAGAGGCAGCGCCAGCGGCAGCTTTATTGTGGAAATGGAAATGGCTGCGGCATCGCCACTTTCCGGCCACTAGAAACTTTTGCGGCGCCCAGGGAAAAACAAAAGGAACACGGAGCACACGGAAAAGGGGTGTGGAGTGTACACTGTGTTTTATGTAGTTGGTGGAGCAGAGTTTTTGGGTAGCGCTTTCCCTCGACAACTCAAAAGCCATTAATCTTCATTTCCATGGCCAGCCATGGGGACGCGCGGCATGGGGAATGGAATGGGCTGTGCGTCCTAGGAGTCCGGGTAACAATCGCTGATGATGCCACCGACGACGAGTGCTGCCAGCTGTGGTCTGCTCCAGCTCCAGCTCCCAGTCCTGGGGTAAACGCCATTCGAGTCAAGTGGTAATTTTGGTTACTTTGTTTGCCAGCTCTAGAGGTTCCAGAGGCCCCCCCCCCCCCCCACCCCCTTTTTTCCGTACCCCTTAGCAACCGCAACCGTTAAAATGCGGCACCGCTCAACTAACCACAGACAAATGAGCAGACGAGGCGGCACAGCCACGCTGTCAGACTGCCCCAGACCCGCACCGCACCCGTTTGGGGCATTAATTCATAATTATGTATGCCGACAGTGTGGCCGGTTGGGGTCCCTGTTCCATGTTCGCTGGCAAAATATGAATGAAATATGCACCCCCAAATGCGTTCAGGCTACCAAGTAGGCAGCCATCTCGACCCTATCATCACATCTTCCATGCGGAAGTCCACACAGGAACTTTCTAATTATTTCAGGGTGGGGTGCATATTTTATTGGATAAAATTTGTCTACTTACATGGCGCCCACATAGAGGGCATTGTTGCGCTCATCCATATAGAAGGTTCTGTAGTGCAGTGGGCCGCAGCTAAAGTCCTTGACGTGATCTAAGAGTAAAGAGTAAAAGAGACAGATGGAGAGAGAGGGACATTAAGTATACGCACAGCATTCGGTTTATTGATTTAAAGGAAATGCCAGTGAGAGAGGAAGCCAGAGAGAGTGGGAGAGTGAGCGAGCAGTTAATTAAAGCTTAATGAAACTGTCAGCAGCAGTTTAGCAGCAACTAATTAAACTATTATAATTTAGCACACACACAAAGTTAATTTATGGAAGGGCAGTATGGGATTTGGAGAGAGAGAGAGAGAGAGTCAATGCCAAAAAGTAAGCACACAACAAAGCCTTGTCCCAGGGTCCTGCTGCCCTATTTCCATGTTCCCCTGTCGCCTGTCCCTGCCCTTGCACATTTGACACTGACAGTGTCACGTAGCCGTTGCCTCTACTCAGATATGTCACGTGCTGAGGCCCTGGATCCAAAAAAAAAAAAAAAAAAACACAGCCCAGAGGCAGCCCCAACCTCCCCACCAGTTCCAGTTCGTGAGACGCAAAAAGTTGCACCGCTGTCAATGTCATTAACAAAAGATTGAGGCATTTAGCTGAAATTTTTACGACATTAAGTTGTCAACTAATTTGGCACAATTAGTAAAACAACACACACAAATACTCACTCGTTACTGGCCCCGTGCACAAAGGGAAAGGACGAACGAACAGGACAGGACAAGAGAGGACAACTTTTTTATTTGAAGCAAAGCCCAAGCAAATCCTTTGATGGCATCGCTAAGAGTCATTTGTGTTGACTTCTCTTCACTTTCGCTTTCCCTTTCCGTCCCCGGTCATTGGTCATTGACGACTCCACGACCCCACGACCCTTAATGGCCCAGGCACAACAATAGCAGTAACAAAAGTGATTTCGATAAGAATACCTAATGAATGAAATATACATGGGAAATGTCGCCGTTAACCTTATGCAAATAAACCGGCGATTGGGAGAAACAGGGACGGGAGTGAGTAAAATATCCCAAAATAAAGTTGGCCAAGAGTTTTGGGTTTATTTGGCTCGACTCACATTTCGATATCGTTAGCAATGTCCTTCTCTAAATTCTACTTTGCCGTAAAACAGCGGCTACATCCCACACAGAACCAGAATCCTGCCACTAACAGTAGACACCATCATGACATCGTCAGACCGCCGGTTCGCACTGTACTGGCGCCCAAAAATAATAAGGTACGGCCAGATTCTTTTGTTCCCATTGAACTCTAACCTATTTTTGGGCATTGCCCATTTTGGGCAGGGTTTGAATTTCACCATTGAGGAGCGGCAGCGTCTGCAGGTGCACGGCCTGTTCCCGGCCGCGTTCCGCACCATGCAGGAGCAGGTGTTCGCCGTGGCGGCCAACTTTCATGCGCGGGCCACGAACATCGGACGGTACCGGTACCTGAGGGCCCTGCGACAGCGGCACGAGCGCCTGTACTTTCGCTTCCTGTCCGAGCACCTCGAGGACGTGCTGCCCGTGATCTACACACCCACCGTGGGCGTGGCCTGCACCATATTCGGAATGATATTCCGGGGCCCCATGGGCATGTATGTGACCAAGAATGATCGCGGCCACGTGGCACAGGTGCTGAGGAATTGGACAGAGCCCAACATCAAGGCTGTGTGCGTGACGGACGGCGAGCGTATCCTGGGCCTGGGCGACCTCGGAGCCAACGGCATGGGCATCACCGTCGGCAAGCTGGAGCTCTACACGGCCCTTAGCTGCGTGCCGCCGCACCAGCTGCTGCCCGTCTGCCTGGACGTGGGCACCAACAACGAGGAGCTGCTGGCCGATCCCATGTACATTGGGACGCGGGACAAGCGGATCAGGGGCAAGGAGTACGATGAGTTCGTGGACGAGTTCATGCAGGCTGTCGTCCAGATCTGGGGCCGCAGAACCCTCATCCACTTCGAGGACTTTGCCACGCCCAACGCCTTCAAGCTGCTGGAGCGGTACCAGCACAAGTACTGCTGCTTCAACGACGACATCCAGGGTACGGCCGCTGTGGGACTGGCCGGCCTCCTGGCCGTCGAGCGGGTCACCAAGAAGAAGTTGGACGACCACGTAATCGTCTTCGCCGGCGCTGGCAGTGCGGCAATGGGTGTGGCGGGGCTACTGACCAAGGAAATGAAGACCCGGAAGCTGGACATGGAGCGTATCACAAAGAACCTTTACGTATTCGATCAGAATGGTCTGATTGTGAAGAGCAGAACGGATGTGGCGCCGCCCATTCAACCGTATGTGAAGGACATGCCCCATATAAAAGCACTCGACGAGGTTGTGGAGAAGGTGAAGCCATCCATCCTGTTGGGCGCCACCAGCATGGCCGGACTCTTTTCGGAGAAGATCCTGCGCTTCATGGGCGCCAACAACGAGCGTCCCGCCATCTTTGCCTTCTCCAATCCCACCAGCAAGGCGGAGTGCACGGCCGAGCAGGCCTACAACTTCACAGAGGTGAATTCTCCAGTGGCATTTCAGTCCATAAGGGGCTATTGAATTGGGAATGTTCTCTTTTTTTGCCTATAGGGTCGCGCTCTGTTCTCTTCGGGCTCACCATTTCCGCCCGTGGAGATCAATGGCAAACGCTTGACGCCCGGGCAGGCCAACAACTGCTTTGCCTTTCCGGGCATTGGATTGGGCGTGATGGCCGCTCACGCCAAGATCATACCCGACGAGATCTTTTTGGTAGCCGCTCACACCTTGGCACAGTATCCCGAGCAGGAGGCGATGGATAGCGGCAGACTCTACCCGAAGGCGACGCAGGCCAAAGATGTGGCACTCACCATTGCCGTGGCCGTGGCTCAGTACTTGTTCGATAATGGTAGGATCCGTTCGTTCGATCTGTGCAATCAGGTTCGGTTCCCTTCTCATGTATCATCATCCCCCAGATTTGGCCCAGGTCTATCCCGTGCCAAAGAATGTCTGCAAGTTTATTGTCGATAATCTGTACGAGCTCTGCAATGGCGATTCGTTGGTGGAGCCCTGGGGGTACCCGGATTTGCCCACAGTTCCGTTCACCAAAGACTACAAGATACCACCGAAAGATGTCAAGATTTCCTTCTAATCGAATCATCTATAAGCAGGCCTTTTCCCTTTGTAGTTTCTTTGGCCTTAGAAAGGGGATTTGATTTTCTTTTCGATAATCAAAATTCACTGCTAAAATTTAAGGACTCGCATTTTTCGACTGTTATCTAATGAAGTTCTCCAAGCTGCGTCCTTTGCCACGGCTAGTTTCGCTGCTCAGTCCGCTTGGTAGAATGTTGCAGCTGCACAACGATGCCAGCAGTCACATTGTGCGACCCGATTGGCACGCCGTCACAGACGGACGCTGGAACAAGGTGAGTGAGAGTGCAAAGAAAGCCTACAGAAACGGATCTGATACGCATCGCTCAGGGCCTGAGTTTCACCATTGAGGAGCGTCAGCGATTGGGCGTCCATGGGCTGTGGCCATGCTCGCATCGGGACTTGGAGGAGCAGCTGAAGGCCGTGGGAATCAACTTCCATGCGCGCAAGGGCAACATCAGCAAGTTCACGTACATCAACTCGCTGTCGCACCGGCACCAGCGGCTGTACTACCGCTTTCTTAGGGACTACACGGAAATTGTGCTGCCCATCATCTATACGCCGACGGTGGGGGAGGTTGTCGCCTCCTTCGGGCTGCACTTCAGGTATCCCGAGGGCCTGTACATCACCATCTTCGACCGGGGCCACATCAAGGATGTACTCGAGAACTGGAAGGAGAAGTATGTCCGGGCCATATGCGTCACGGACGGCGGTCGCGTCCTGGGTCTCGGCGACATGGGGGCCAACGGCATGGGCATATCCATTGGCAAGATTGCCCTGTATACCGCCTTGGCGGGGGTGCCGCCACACCAGCTGCTGCCCGTCTGCCTGGATGTGGGCACCGACAACGAGGAGCTGCTCGGCGATCCGCTGTATGTGGGAGCGCGAATCAAGCGCGTACGCGGCGCCGAGTACGAGGACTTTGTGCAGGAGTTCATGGAGGCTGTGGTGGATTCCTATGGCACGGATATCTTCATCCACCACGAGGACTTCGCCACGCCCAACGCGATAAAGTTCCTGAAGAAGTATCAGTTCTCCTACTGCTGCTTCAACGACGACGTTCAGGGCACAGGCGCCACCGGTCTGGCCGGCATGCTCAACGTGGAACGTGTGACCAAGCGGAAGCTGGAGGACATGATCTTTCTGTTTGCCGGTGCAGGGAGTGCCGCCCTTGGCATTGCCAATATGCTGCTCACGGCCCTGCAAGCACGAGGACTCTCCCCCGAGGAGGCGGCCAACAAAATCTATCTGTTCGATCACAACGGCCTCGTGACGTGCGCGTCGGAGAAGATTGAACAGCAGGCCAGGAAGTATGCCAAGCCCATGGACCCGATCAAGGACCTCGCCGACGTGGTGGACCATCTGAAGCCCTCGATTCTGTTGGGGGCCACTGGCGTTGGGGGACTCTTCACCGAGCAGGTGCTCCGAGCAATGGCCAAACATCAGGAGCGACCTGCCGTGTTTGCCCTCTCGAATCCCACCAACAGGAGCGAGTGTACGGCCGAGCAGGCCTACACATTCACAGAGGTGATAATGGGGGCAGCCAAGGAGCTTTCCCTTCGGTTCTACATTTGATTCTCCTCCCCTAGGGTCGAGTCTTGTTCTGTTCGGGATCGCCGTTTCCGCCCGTGGTGATGAATGGCAAACGCTTCATCCCCGCACAGGCCAACAATTGCCTGGTGTATCCGGGGATCGCTTTGGGCGCAATTTGTGCGCGGGGCCGCTTTCTGCCGGACGAAATTTACTCCGAGGTGGCCGCCACGCTGGCCAATAGAACATCCGAGGAGCGGCTGGCCGCCGGCAGCCTGTATCCCGCCATCAGGGAGGCCAACACTTTGGCCTTGGATGTGGGCGTGGCCGTGGCCCAGTACCTCTTTGAACACGGTAGTATCTGGCTTTCATTTTGAACGCTTTTCGTGACTGATTTATTTTGGGGACTCGCAGATCTGGCAAACATCTATCCCGTGCCCAAGGATGTGTGCCAATTCATTCGGAAGACTCAGTACAAGCTGGAGTACGAGAGCGCTCTGCCGCCCACCTGGTCGTATCCTCATTTCCCAGCCTGTCTCGGCAATGATTGCAAAGCGAAGACTATTTTGTAATTAGAGACAACTCTCACAGATACACCACACACAGATAAATGTATCTGGTGTCGCACAGGATGGGGGAGGCTGGCGGTAAATGCTCGACATTTTAACGTTATTATTGTCCTGTCAACGAGGGACATTGACATGCTGCTCTCGCTTCTCGCTGCTCCCTGCTCCCTACTCCCCGCTCCCTACACCCTGCTGTATGTGTGTATGCGCGTGCGTATCTGTGTGTGTATCCTGCTGATTTGCATATAAAATAGGACGAAATGTCGGCTGCTCACCAAAAATGTCAATCAATTTCTTTCTTTTCCCTCTCTTCTCTTCTTACGCTTTGCTTTTGCCATACCCTGCACTTTTGGTGTGTGTGTGGGGGCGGGTATGTTGTGCTCGGTAAACTGTGTGTAACAGGCATTAGGAGAAACCTCTGTGGTTGCCATATTGGTAGGGATATGAACTACCTCCCATTTGGTACATAATTTTAGTTATAAAGAGATCGAACGAGAGTTCTTCAGATATTTTCCAAGTATAGGGTATATTTTGGTAGAAGTATCGACAATCTATCTATATGTATATATCTTGCTTCTTGTTTAAACGCTCCACAAACACACATACACACACAAAGAGGGAGGGAATGGACGTGCATGCATTAAAAAGCAATTGGTGTTAAAAGAGCAGTCAGGCGGCAGTCGCACGTTGTCTGCCCCTGACTCTGCGTCTGCCACCGTCCCTGGTCTGACTGCCTGCTTGACTGCCTGTCTATCAGTTTGGCATTGGCATGTGGCTGCTCTGCAGCTCCGCTCCTCTTCTCCCTACATCCCCTGACATGCCCCACACACACAGAAACTTGCCACGATGTTGATGTTGTCGATGTGGAGACATCTCCAACGCAAAGATGGGGCAGGAGACGGAGCATAAAAAAAGGCAAGGCAAAAATGTGAAATCATTTTCTTCAACTGACAGCTGTCAAAATATTTGCTCTCTGTCAATGTGCGTCCCTGCCGTCGTGTGTGTCACTGTGTGTCCTCCTCGTGGCCTTGCAACGTCTGGAAATTCCATTTTAATATTCATTACTTCACACTTTAATACAAGAAGAGTCGAAGACCTCCATCCCAGAACCCACGCGCATAGCATTGACCACATTTGGCTGCTGCCCCACCAATCAATACTCCGTTGGCCTCAGTCGCAAGTGGAAAATCTTTAAGTGGCAGTGGGGAGCCAAAACAGATCTGGGAGCGCTCTCTTTCGTTACGGTTAGCTTGGCTTATAGAATTTAATTGGCCATAAAAATGTATGCGGCTTGTTGAACGTGTCTAAATCGTAAATTTTCCCGGCTGAAGGGTGGCGGCAGCTTCTTCCCCCAAGCACACCAGCTTCGATTTACGCCCCACAATGGGGCTCTAAATTTAAATGCCAGCGGCAAAGGTTAAGGGTTTTTTTTTTTGTTTTCACTAGATTATATGATGCGTCAGCGTATAAATTATAGCCCAGATAAACCAAATAAAAGAGGAGCTAAACAGGCTCCCCCCTCCACCCACAAAGTTCTCTCTGGGTTTTTGGGTGCCTTTCAGGGTTTTTATTTGGGGTTTGCCTGCTTCTTGGGTAATTGTTGATCTTGGTTTCATATTTGCATGGCTTTCCACTGTTTTGCTTTCCTTCTCTCCTCTCGGCTCAGTTATCAATCTGGCCAAGCATAAGCCTTAAATAGGCCAAATTAAAGCCAGAGCCCCAAGGAGAGGTTGCGGCCAAAGGCCAAAGCTCACTTGACTGTATACAGTCGATAAGTAGCCTCAATAAACCCAAAAGTCTACTCAGGCCTGCTTCTGTTACGGCTTCTGTTGCTTCTCTTGCTGCTTTCCACCAAGAAAATGCCGATGCTGCCGACCGCTACTTCATCTTTTTGAAGATTTTCATTTATCTGCTGAGAGAGATAAAACAGGCCACAGAGCGGAAGGCCTGAGCCAGGTCCAGAGAAAAAACTGAAGGCCAAAAAGCAAGTAGCACTTAGATCCATTTAGGCGAATTTTTCAAGCATTAAATTTGCGTTTACGTTACGTATACTTAACTTCCAATGGCAACGCCAGAGACGGCCAGTGGGGGGGGCTGAGGAATGTGGCAGCTGTATCCTCGGCAGGTAAATGAAAAATATTCCCTCTTTTTCGTGGAGCCAAATGGATTTTACATCATTTGTCTTAGCCAGGCCAAGAGCGAGCTGGCTCTGTTTTCCTCCTCCCAAGCACACACACACACGTACTCTGTTTCTGGCTCTGTCTCTGTCTCTGGCTAGGGTTCTGCCTGGCTCTCCATATGGTCACAGTTTTTGGACCAACTTTTCTTTCGCACTGCCCTCTCCATATGGAGAATCCCCCTACTATCTATACGGTTCGCACAGTCAACAGTTTTGTTTTGCAGCGTCCTCCATTGTGTTGTGTTGTGTTGTGTGTGTGTGTGTGTATTTTGCGGCCATGCAAAGGCCTCCCCATACCCATCCACAGTCCCTTCCGCCGCCACACTCTGCTTTTGTTTGTGGAGAAATTTTTCTTATCTCCACTTTGCATGCCGCACAGTGTTTTCCTCTGGGCCCTGATTCCCTTACGTTACGTTTCGTTTCGTTTCGTTCGTTGCTTCTTTTTTCCAGACGAACTGAGTCAGCACTTAATTTTTATTTGATTCTCGTCTCAGTTGCGGTTCAGCTGCTTGACTTGCCACTCCGTTGCTGTGGAATGAGTGACGGGTGGGGGAGTCGAGAGACAAGCGTGAGAGAGAGAGAGTGCGTAATTTTTTATGGCGTTAATTTAACAATGATTGGCTTTCCAGCAGCCACAGCAAAGGAAACTGCTTTACTGTACACTGAACTGTCAGGGCAGTGGAATTTTATTAAGACAAATGCCGGGAAACTCCTCTAACGAAGGGTCAATATAGCGCTTGAAGATGCGAGCTAGACAGGTGAAGCACTTGCCACCATTCTTCCTGTTGCAGATACTTACGGAATGTGAGGGCATCCTTTTACAAGGCTGCGGCTTTCAGTTCCAGTGGATTCCCATTAGAACATTTAAGATAAAGGAAGGATTTCACAATTCCTTTCCGCATTCGTCGATTCTTCTCTTAAATTTACCCTAAATATATCTAGTCTTTCCACCTCCGGATGCATTTGGATTTGCATTAGCTTTAGGGAAGAGTTAGCTGTAGGCAAGTCGGGTCGCAGGCCCAGCAGCCATGCATCAAGCTTATCTCCGCTCCTGCAGCAGTCGCACTGTCGCACAAATCTCCAGCCATTTACCAATGTCCTGGCACCGCCACTGGCCCCTCGTACCTTGTACCTGCATATAAATATGTGTTCGATATTTAACAGCTTCCAGTTGAATGCGCCTGCCTGCCCAGGAGATGGAGATGCTGATGCTGATGCAGCAGCCGGATGCAGAGATGGAGACGTCGATGTCTCCTTCGACATATGCAAAGCGTGCTACTGGCGGATGGGGGCTTGAATTTGGCGTTGGCTTTGGGGCAAGTTTGCTCAGTGCGCGGCATGGTGTTGGTTCTGTTGCTTCGCTTCGTGTTCATGGGGCAGTACAAATAGCTGCCACTGTCGCTGCTGCTTCACAGTAAAAATCCAATAAGGTAAACGGTAAACAAGATGCCACGTCTGTGCCAGTGTGTCTGTGTTTGTGTGTGTAAGCACCTGGCATTTGTGTTGAGCACGTTCGTACCTTATGTGGGATTTAGTTTTAGACTTCATTTTACTGGGCTGCGCTTTTGGTTTCGTTTTGTCTCTGCCACCGTCTTTCTCTCACTCTCTGTCTCTCTCTCTCTCTTTCTGTGTTATTTTTTATGCCATTTTATGATGGCAGTTCCATAAAATGTAGGGGAGAAAGAGGCAAAGAGAGGCGGGCACCGCAGATTTGCATACCCTTGCAGCTCTCTCGGTGGCAAGATTGTAGATTGAATAACCTGCCTTGCCTGCAGTGCAAACATATTGTCAAAATCATATCACCCTCGCTGCAAGGGTATCCACAGAGAGGAAGAGAAGCTAGGATAAAGCAGCGACGACGACGACACAGAAATGTATAGTAAAAATAAAGCCATAGACATGACTGCCACTGCCACTTGAGTCCCATGTAGGTTCACTCAGCCACACACACAGATACGGGATACGGGGAGGCACAGCGACACAGATACAAAGGGACACAGAGAAAGGTAGAGAGTGAGATAGAGAGAGAGAGCGGGAGTGTAAAAGAGATAGACACAGATACACCGACAGGAAAGCTAGACAATGCCGTAATCTAAAAACACAAACGTGCAATTCTCTGCTTACTGTAAATGTGGTCACACACACACACACACATGCACACAGCTATGGGAAAACTCTGTATGTGTATCTGTGAGTGAGTGTATATTCGTCCTCTGTGTGCACACTACCGACTACCGACACGAGATGGCGTGGGAATTTATTACAAGTTGGTTTACAAGAGAAGTATGTCAGTGGCTGTCCAGGGGAGAGGCCGGAAGCCATGGACTAACTTTAAGCACTTTAAGCACAAGCAACAATTTTTAAAGAGCGCTCACAGGGCTCCCAGGGAGATCTCCCACTTGGTTCTGGCTGGGACTAGCCCTAATCCCAGAACTGGTTCAAGTCAGAGGAGAGGAAGCTGCCCGCTCGATGATTGGGGCAACATGAACATAATTCAGCGGGCGGAAATTTTACGACTTCATCGAGAAGAGCCAGTGTAAAAGGATGCAATGCTTGTTGCAACTGCAGCAAGAGGAAACATTAGCAAGTCTAGACACCTACGTCATGCGTCAGCAGCAGCACCAGCAGCACCAGCAGCTCCAGCAGCTCCAGCAACAGCAGAAATAGCCGAAAAAAACGTGCCGGAGCTGCAGATGCCGGCGAGGGACGATCCCAGTGAAAAGCCAAGAAGAAACGGAGAAAAAATGAGACGTCAAGCAGACGATGAAGTCGACGTGGTCTGACAGCCAGACAGCCATCGCAAGGAGCTCCCTCTCTCTCTCTTTCTCTCTCTGAAAAGGAGCACAGGTCCCAGGAGCATGTCTAACAGGAGCATTTGAACCTTTTGGCTTGTTTAATATGCTGAAAAATACGCCCGAATTCGTCGTTTCCGTTTCCACCATCATCCATGAAAGGAAAGCGCTTGGAATGCATTTTCGAGTATTACATTTCCATTTGAATGTTACGACACATGTATGGGCGGCAAAAACCCTTTAAGGATAGTATAAAACGACAGAGAGAAAGAGCAAAAGAGAGACGAATAGATATATATTCTCTTC